AGTTTTAATAAAGAAGAATATTAAAAAACAATAGCTATTAAAAAAGATTAAACATCTTAAATGTTTATGAGGGTCAACTGCTTTTACTATAGTCAGTCAGCTGGTGGCGCCATTGGATCTGTTTTAAGTTTAGTTCTGTCATGACAATTCTTGGAGGGATTGGCATGGAAATGTACATGACATTGTTAATGTATTTGGTATTGGCGGAATAGATCTGTTACGCTGCAGCTGCGGCAGATCAAGTACCGAGACTTGCTACTGCCAATACATCCACAACATGCTGCTGTGAGCATGTAAGAAATATTGCTGCTGCAAATTTAACATACATGAAATAACCCCCATATAGCATACATGAATCACCTCGTAGCAGATATATACAGGTGGAGCTGGGGAAGGTGGAGGGTTTCTGAAGCAAGCTGCAACAGCTACGGCAAGCACTAGTCATATATTTGAATGTTGAGCAGCGAGCTCATTGGCTGCCGATACAGGAGAGAACCAATCAGCTGTGCCATGTGATAATGATGTCATTAGGTCAGATTGAGTTAGACCTATCGGACTACGCCATCTAGAGTTTCATGCCAGAACTCTGTATTTCCTATGAATTTCGCTATGAAATAATTTCGAGTTGATTGATTATTTTTTATACTTGAAATTTAAGTTTAAGTACCTGTTAGAGTCACTATGTATTGTTTTGTCACCTGTCAGGTTTTTAACTTTCAAAATGAATTCGGAGAACAAAAGTGGACTTCGGTGGCTTTTATTCCATTTTATGCTAGTATACTACTTAAAATTGACAATTAACTTTAATCAGACTTATAACTATTCAAAATATACAGTTTTTTTACCTATAATACAAATTTGAATCCATAAATGTCAATCTATCCCTAAACCCCCCTGTGTCTGTGCTTCGTGGCCTTGGTTTAAATAAAAAATTTCTGACTATTTAAAAATAAAAATATTTTTTGATATATCCTCCACAACTTGTATAGGAAGTATATCAACACATGAATGAAAACTGCATTCATTTCATGGTCATATCAAGGTCTGATAGGTTAAAGACTAATTGCCTAACAGGATTATTGTTACACTCTAATAGATATGCTACATGAAGATGTCTGCTCACCATTGTGTAGAAGTTGCTGTTGACCATGATGGGGTCCCGTCCTCTCAGGTAGATGTACTCCTCCCACCAATCACTCACCTGTTAACACACACTAGCAATTATAAAAGGGTTTCCAAGGGTTTATAGTCCACTCATGTAGAAGATCTCTGGCTTTGTTTACTTACATAATTTGTGGCCCACCAGGATTTGAGTTTGAGGTGTTTTTGGAGTTTGGGTGCAGGATCCTTTTTGAAGTCATTAGCAACAATCTCCATCTGTTTATATTGCTCATCATCCAGAAGAGGTCGAACTGATTCAAGATACTAAAACAATAAAGAAAAGAAATAATATAAAGGAAAACAGCCGATAGAGTGCAGTGTAATACTCCCAAAATTAAAGGGAAAACAAATTGATGGTGATTGCTTTTAATTTCTAGTGCTTTTAATCCCACAATGCAGTATAAATAAATAAATAATAAAATTAACATGAATTTTTATCTTTAGATTAATAGGTATAATGTAACCAGCACTCTTGATAGCATTATATATTCATGACAGCTGATGATATTTTACCCTGTTGATTGTGTCATCAATGCTCGGTACTGGCAGATGGGGCAGAGATGCCTGGAAGCTGTAGAGCAACGGTCGCCGACCGGACAACAGCTTTACAAGACTCTAAAACAGACAGAATAAATCATAAAACTAACCACTTTTTAAACTGCACTATACATATGTTTTATTTCATGGGAGACGCACCAGCCAGACTTTAGTAGAGAAACTCATTTTGCCATGTGACTCAAAGATCCAGCCGTGATAGGACAGGAGAGCTTTCAGGATGTACCGCAGCAGAAAGATGAATGATAACCACAGGCCTGTGGCAAACAGGATGGCACTCAACACCGTCTGAGTCTGAACGGTCATAAACTCACTACATGGGGAAAAAAATATTTAAAAGTTTTATATATTAAAATACTAATTATTACAAAAATAGATTCTACACAAGGCCATCTATGCATGTTGTTATTTAGGACTATTTGTTTCAAAGCTGCTTTAATCATGCATGACACTGGCTTAGATTTATGTATCTGTGTGTATATGTAACATCATATCCATACATAAAGTTTCCATGAATGCGTTCGTAAGTTACCTCACAGGTAGAGATGTCTTGATCCTGTCAATCATGCCCATAGAGGGGTCGATCCTGGCATACATGGTGCTCATTATTGCAATAACTACAATTAACCAGCTGGAGGGACTGGCGGGGTACACACCTGTGAGAACGCCATTCTGTTCAAAATAAAATTAAATATTATTTTCATTAGAGAAATAGATAGATAGATATAGATAGGTAGATAGATTCACCTTGAAGCGGATGGCAGTGTTATGCAAATCTTCCCACATCGTGACGTAGACATGTGGGGGCGTGTTAGAACGAGCCGTTTTAGGTAGGTGTGGCTGACTCTTAACTTTTATAAAGAATATCTCTTTGGATTTGAGACTTTAGTCTTTGCAACTTTACAGATCTTCTTTATGCACCAAGAGCTTGTAACACTCCAAAGCGAAAGGAAAAATTGAAATCGCATCATATGACCCCCTTTAAAGTGATTGTTCACCCAAAAATGAAAATTCAGTTATTAATTACTCACCCTCGTTCCAAATCCGTAAGACTCTCGTTCATCTTCGGAACATAAATTAAGATATTTTTGATGAATTCCAAGAGCTCTCTGACCCTCCCATAGACAGCAAGGATCCTAACACAATCAAGGTCCAGAAACATAGCAAGGACATCGTTAAAATAATTCACGTGACATCAGTGGTTCAACCGTAGTTTTACGAAGCTAAGAGAATACTTTTTGTGCACAAAGAAAACAAAAATAATGACTTTATTCAACAATTTGTCTAAACGTATCTGTGTACATACATTGCATACGTTGTTTACTTATGTGATACTCTCCGAAATGCCACCAGGGTGACGCGGAGGAGACAAATTGTTGAATAAAGTCATTGTTTTTGTCACATGGATTATTTTAACAATGTCCTAACTAAGTTTCTGGACCTTGATCTTGTTAGGATCATTGCTGTCTATGGGAGGGTCAGAGAGCTCTCGGAATTCATCAAAAATATCTTAATTTGTTTTCTAAAGATGAACGAAGGTCTTACGGGTTTGGAACAAAATGAGGGTAATTAATGACAGAATTTTCACTTTTGGGTGAACTATCCCTTTAAATGACAATATTTTCCAGGTTATACTATTATAGGTCATCTGGTTGGAACATGAAGAACTGGTTTGTTACTGGTCAAAGGTCTACTAGACCCAACCAGCTTGGCCAAGATGGTCTTGCGACGCAGTTAGGCACCCACCTGCTTGTAATTCAGCTGGGCACCTATTTAAACCAACTTGGACCAGCTAATGACCAGCTTGAAACCTTAAGAGTAGGTGAGTGTACAACAACAACTATAACCAGCCATAGATTAGCCATGTTCCCATTTAGGTAGAATACTCTTAATACTTGTACGACTTAAGGTTTTGTATGCTTCTTCCACTGCAATTTGAATGCCTGACTCACAATCCCAGCCAAGGCCATGTCATTCCATGGTGGATGGAGGATAAATCCAGCCTTTTTTTTTTTTTTGGTAGCTCATGCATGGTTGTTTTCAAGGCTCAACATGGTGCCTGTGTGCCAGAGCAATCGCAGTAGAGCTATTTTAGGGAATCGCTGAAGCAGGAAACAAAATATGGTGGGCCCTTCTGTTCAGTCTACTGAATTACACAACACCTGAACCATGTTGGGAACTGATGATGCTCGATTAATATACTTTATATGGATCCGTTTAAAACATTCTTAATTTTTGAACTGGTACAGTAGTAGTGTTTTGAATAGTGCATTATCTTACACAAAATATATTGTTAAAATATGATATGACAGAAATGATCAAACTCAAAACAATGTCTACATCTCTGTAGGTCACCGTTGCTTGGAATGGAATTCGAAACCTTTATGCTAACAACTCAGATCTTTAACCTTCAAGTTACTCCTAAATATTCAAATACAACATTCACACCAATGTCAGCATGATTTTTTTTTTAATGAGCAAAATTAATGGATACCTGTATGGCAAAGGAACAAAAGGAAACATACCAGAGACAAGTCTACAGTATAACTTGAATTAGCCAAAGCAATTATAGAAGTTAACATTGGTTCTAACAGTGCAATTGCTTCTCAACTCAATATTAAGAATCACAGATTCAATATCAACAATGATATTGGGAGCATGTTAAAGTAGCTTAGCTTAAAATGTTCATGGTCCCTCAATATTTCTTTTGTCCCTGAACTTGCTACAACATACGGGAAAGAAAGCATTGTGAAAATGATACAGATACATTTGTTTATAGACGGGGACAAATACAAGAGCATCAATTTGACCATTCAGATTCTCCCAATATGATTCTAACAATGTACCATGATTCTTAAGATGATGATCCCACTAATTCACAGTATAATGCTACTATCCTTCATTTGTTTTATCAGCAGCTACTTAAAAGAACTTTGTGTTTAGAAAGGGGACAAAGGCATTTGTCAGTTTAGTAATTAAACTTCTGTTCTTGAGGTGGTATTTCCTTTATGTGCAGTTCAGACTATATTTAAACCTATGTACAAATGTATACAAGATGGCTGTAGACAATAGTTATTGGTACATATCAATATGGCTGAGCAAAGACTGGTCAAATCCCAAGTAAAACACAGAAAACATAGCTCAAGACATTATTTCCTATTATTAATACTTTTTCCAATTGAAAGTTAAATGGCATCAAAATCAGAAAGAAAAAGTAGTTTATGTGCCATTCTGAAACAAATTAATTGACTCCTGAGTTTAAAAAAGACGTGCAATGTATTTCACAGTATGTAAATATAGGAAGGATGCAATAATTTTGCACTGTTTTAAAACATTGGGGAGGAAAATTAAACAAGCTACAACGCTGCTTTTGTTTTCAGATGAAAGTACAAACAAATATAGAATTTGAAACTAGGACACAAAAATGAAGAGATATCACTGGACCCTGTGGTTTACACAGTAATTATGATGGACGGATTGATTCTTGATAGAATTAATAGATAATGTTGACCACACACAAGTTTCAATATTCCAAAAAAATGCAGTTACATTATTATAAATAAACTGACAAAATGAATTTTACAGTTCGCCTTGTACAATGAAGAGGTACGAACAGTACGTGAATTGTATCAAGGTTTCAGTCACAAAATTCTATCCCCCCCATTTGCAGATAATTTGTAACTTTTTACCTTCTAATTTTTTGGAAGGGATAAGAACAACTATAATAAAGCCCTACAAAATGTGACTTTAAGGCAGGCTATCTTTGGACTATTCATTATTTAAAATTAATGTTCCCCAGGATGAACCGTTCGTTAGCAGTCTTAATTGTTTTGTACTGTGCCCTTTCTTGAAGTTTTTTTTTTTTTAAAAATCAATACCTAAACAACAGGTGATGCAAAATGATATTCTGAAGCATATGCTGTATGTCGCAATTTAGGAAAAGAGCTTCTTCTGTTTGAAGTATGTGTCAAACCTGTGCTGTGCATAGTCCTGGGGAAAAACAAAAGAGATAGAGACAGAAATGAGGTGACATAGCTTATGTTTCACATGTCTTCAGATCAGTGATGAACAGAGGGGAGTTGTTCTGTACACATACTTCTGTTTACTGTACACATGACTATGATGCTGTTTGAGCTCTCAGAATTGAGTATTACTCATTCGTTTAAGGCTAATTCACAAATAACATGGACATGTACTACATACTTTATATGAATGTATAAATGAATATTTAGATTTTAGGTGCTGTATTTGGCCACCACTGACATGTAGTTACTCAACAGTTAATGATAAAGTAATTAATAAGTAACGATTTTAATACAATGACAGTCCTACAAATCATCATGGAATGATTAGAAAAAATGTTTGTAAGGGTTATAATTAGTTTGTGTGTTTTTTGTTTTTTTTACCATATATCCAAACTCGATTTTAGAGATCTTGGCTTGAATAATAGACCACAAACCCCAGAGGAAATGAGACGCAAGGGCAAACCTGTTTGTGTGCATGTGATTTTTGAGACAAACAGATAACAAGGTTACTAGGTAAAGGTGAAAATACATCAAATGGTACACAGTGACGCTTTTCCCATTTTATGTCAATAAAAGTCTGATAGTAAATACGATTCATACCGGTTTGCCTCAATGATCATGTCCTCTTCTATCCTGGCTTGGTCAACAGGTGCAATGCCCCCCTTTTCTGACAGATAGTGTCTGATAAAACGTAACTGAAAAACAAACCGCAAACAGGTTCCAAATAATATCTATAAGAATATCTATTTTGTTTTGATATTTAAAAGGGACTGATATTGTCCCCAGCCCCATGACACAATTTCGAATGCTTTTAAATATTAACATTGTATGCTGCTGTGCTGACCTCTACAAGTTATAGTGTCAACCTTTGACACACTTTTTATGTCACCTCAGTTCCAAAACTTTCCACTAGATGACAGCCTCACCAAACTACATGTACATTATGTCCAACACAAATGATCTTTCAACTATGACAAATCATTAGTCATCAATTTGTAAGAGAAATACCAAGCACAAATTGATGTCAAATATAATTTATGATGCTGTATTGCATCTACATAAGAACAAAAATAGCATTCGAAAAATAATAATGATACTATTAATCTGGCATATTATGATTCTAAGGTTTCAGGTTTTTATTCACATTTTTGTATCACCATCGTTTATTCCTTAATATATTTGATAACATTAAACTCAAATTTTAAAGATGGATTTAGTGAACATAGTAGTGAATTTGAAATAATTTCACTTCAACGTGAAAGATTTTGTGTTTGAATAGGGTTTTCTTGAGAATACTGCTTTAATTCATAATCATTTTATAATGTCCTCAATTTTACTTTCTGTCCTGTGATGTTTTATTTGTAAAGTTATTTGGATTTGTACAACACAATATCCAAATAAACTGAAATGTTATTTTTCAGTTGACCATTTATAAATTGTTCTTTTTTAAGTTTTTTTTTTTATTTGATCTGGTCTCATCTTGAGTAATATTAATGATAGGCTGTAGTGTGTGGGACTCACCTGCTGTTGTCTGTTGGGGTAATTCTCCACCTTTGCCTTGTAGAAGGGCCACTGATCATATGTGTAGTCATATATCCATTCACAGAAATGATTCCCAAAATCAAAGCCTCTGCACTCAGAGCAGACCAAAAGAATAGTTCTTCAGAGCTGCATTTATTATAAACTATACAATGACAAGCACAGGCAGTATGTTATATAGGGTAGTTTTACCTGTAGTTATAGCTGCTGTATTCAAAATCAATAAGCATTAGTTTGTCAGATGAATTCTCTCGGCCATCTAACATGAGGATATTGCCTGAAGAACAAAGTATGATTTTATAGATGAAAGGGCAGATGTGTTTCATAATGGTACAACACAGCAGTGACTGACAGACCCGTATCAGATCACCAGATTAGGCAGCTGGCAGGACTCTGGTATGCGTGTACGGATGTGAATGTGATATCTCTTACCTTCCTGTACGTCATTATGGCAGAACACAACTGGAGAGGGAGTAGCTGCCAGCAGTGACCTGACAGACAGAGACGGCACATGATTAAGTGCTACTTTATCATATTGCTCTTATAATCCGGATTTTAAAATGATCATTTTTATTGTTTAAAAGCCCAATGAACAAAAAGTGCAGAACACACACAGAGCGGTAGACAAGCATTTCATTTAGAGAAAAGTTACACAACCACATGTGTGTGTGTGTGTGTGTGTGTGTGATTGACCAAGCAAGCTGAGTATGCACAGAATGCAGCTTCCTGTAAGTGCGCCTAATCAGTGATGCCTGGAACTGGGCTAAGGGTGTTAGTATACAAACACACTTAACACTACTGTTCAACAGTTTTGGGGTCAGTAAGATTTTTTTTCTTTTGAAAGTAGCCTAATTAATACTCGTATTCAGCAAAAATGCATTAAATTGAACAAAAGTTACAGTAAAGACATTTATAATGTTACAAAAGTAATGCTATTCTTTGGAACTTTCTGTTCATCAAAGAATCCTTGTCTTAAGCAAGACAACCATTATTAACATTGATAACGATAAATGTTACTTATTATGAGCACCAAATCAGCATATTAGAATGATAAGATGACAAAGAAATATGTGACACTAAAGACTAGATAATGGCTGCTGAAAATGCAGCTTTGCATCACAGGAATAAATTACATTTTACAATATATTCAAATAGAAAACAGTAATTTTAAATTGTATTTTCACAATATTACTGTTTTACTGTATTTTTGATCAAATATGTGTAGCCTTGCTTAACATAAGACACTAAAATAAACATAAGAAAAAATAACAACAACAACAAAATCTTACCAACACCAAACTTTGGAACAGTAGTGTGTACTTACACTTATACCTTGACCATTTGTTATCTGGAAGCTCAAGTATCACAACAACGCTTTCCATTCATCCTTTCAGCTCTTTTAATTTACGTGTCATCTTTCTCACCTCAGATTCTCCAGTTCTGCAGGAAGATCATACTTCATTAGCTTGGTAAATTTCTTGATGTGAGCTTCACGCACAAATTGTATTATTTTAACTTGTTCCATATACCTGTTCAGAAGAATAAACAGTCATTTTAACACTTATGCCAATAGAAATATACACAGCACACATGTTAAACCACCATCTGCATAATTTAAATATAATTACAAAAAACATATTAAGGTCCATGTCATACACTAGCTCAATTCCATTATCCGAGGCACATTCTGTTATTCTTGAGGTAAACAGAGTAATTAAAGCTTGTGATTTCTGTACAGTTGCAACAAAATACAGTATGTCTGTTTAAAACAGCTATTCCCAAACAGCCAAACTCATTGGTTCAGCCAGTGCTGCTACAACTTAATATAAGCTAATGTTTTGACAGTTACACAGTTTTCAGGTATGAATACTAATCTGCATATTCTGGGATAGAATCATGTATTTAAAAAAAAATACACAGGTAGTGATTGTTTCTATAACCGTTGGACTGCAGTCAGAAGACAGTGTGAGACTTTTACCGGTCAATGGTTCCAAACAGCCATTTGGGTTCCTTGTTGAATGGCATCTGCATCCCATGGAATCGTGCCATTTTACTGGCTATTTCAGCTGAGATCTCTGGGAACCCCAACTGCTCTGTACGCAAGCGATTACTCTGTGGAAGAGAAAAAAAGATCTGATAATCTCTCTTAGATTATGCATACAGAAATAAGTGGAATGATAAATATTTTATCTACGTTTAAGGCATGCAAATGGCTCTGAAGCTTGACTGCATAATTCAAGTATAGCTGTGTTTAAAGGGGTCATATGATGCAATTTAATTTTTTTCTTTCTCTTTGGAGTGTTACAAGCTCTTGGTGCATAAAGAAGATCTGTAAATTTGCAAAGACTAAAGTCTCAAATCCAAAGAGATATTCTTTATAAAAGTTAAGAGTTAGCCACACCTACCTAAAACGGCTCGTTCTAACACGCCCCCACATGTCTACGTCACGATGTGGGAAGATTTGCATAACGCCGCGCAAATGTTCACGCACAGAAAGAAGGCGTAACTTTTATTCTTGCTGTAGTATTGTTGCCGCTGCCGTCATGTCCTGAAGAGGCTGTGTGCTTCGTTGTGAAAGCGAAACTACTTTGTTTGGTCTTCCAAAAGAGGACGATATCCGCTTCGTCATGCCGAGAGCTGATCTGTGCTGGTCGCTGAGGAAATACATCAACTTAGTGCTGTGGATCGCCAGATCGGCTTTCACCGTTTTCACCGCTCCTTCGTCGGATCCGCCGGGACCGCCGTTCTCGATCCCGCCACCTCAGCTCACTCTTGCCCGGCCTCAGCTCACGCTAAGCCGGGGCTTTCACTCACGCTAGGCCGCTGTGTTTTTCGTTGTGAAAGCGAAACTACTTTGTTTGGTCTTCCAAAAGAGGACGATATCTGCTTCGTCATGCATAGAGCTGATCTGTGCTGGTCGCTGAGGGAATATATCAACTTAGTGCTGTGGATCGCCGGCACATTTTATGGAGGACTGTTTACTGATCCTGGGAGAGTAACGTTAGACTAAAATGCCGGCAGTTCTGACTCACGTAAGTACGTTTTCATTTAAAGGATTTGCCACTGATGATTCAAACGCAAGTTTTGGGCAGTGTAGAGTAGCACTTGTTGTTTGTCATTTCTCTGATCACAAATGCAGACAGGGTTTTATGTTTACGCGGAGCGATGCAATGCAATGCAACGCGTAAAAAGACAGTATAAGTCATTATAATCAGTAATTATGTCCCCACTGGATGCAACAAATGCCTCATTTGTAATGGGTTTTAATGTTTTTGAATCATCGCTCCGGCCGGGACACGGCATCGACAGTATGGTGAGGGGCTTAACATTTCCGTCTCACGCTTGAAGTATTCAGCCAATCACAACGCACTGGATAGCTGGCCAATCACAGCACACCTCGCTTTTCAGACTGATGAGCTTTGTAAAAATCGACGCGTTTCAAAAAGGTGGGGAAAAGAGGAGAAACAATAATGTACGGTATGTGGAAAATAATGTGTTTTTTTACTTTAAACCGCATAAACATTTCATTACACCAAATACACAAAATAATGTTCTTTTTAGCAGCATCATATGACCCCTTTAAAGGTTTATTTTTAAAACAAGCATATAGAATCTGGGATTTTGGATTAAGACTCACAGGCAAGTACTGCTCTAGACGACCTTCTGGGAAAATGCCATAGAGATGTGGGCCCAACTCTCTCTCTGCTAAAATGGCAAACATCACACTTTCCAAAACAAGAGAATCCACTCCCTGTGTGTGAACACAGAGAGACAGATGTATAGGAGCAAACATGCATAGCATGATTACATAGTTATATGACATCAGGGAATCGACAGCACTGGGCAATAAACATATTGCCCAAGATATAGACTCTTATCAGCTTATCAGCTTTTGCAACAGCATATTTGGTCTACTTAATATATAATATGGTCAGGGTGGCACACCTGTAGAATGGCCCCGTAGATCCGGAGCAGAACTCGTCGAGGTTCGACCCCGGTGGGCTGAACATCGTCGGGTAAACTGCACATGTACAGCAGGTTACTGAGTCCTCCACTGTGGGAACAAAAAAAGCAGTATTGTTCTTTATTTCTATGTATATGTAATATGTGTGTGTGTGGGTGTAGTAATATATATATACACACACATACACTGCCGTTGAAAAGTTTTTGATCAGTATTCAGTAAGGTTTTTAATGGAGTCTTTAATGCTCATCAAGGCTGTATTTATTTGATCAAAAATACAGAAAAAACAGTAATGTTGTGAAGTATTATTGCAATTTCTAATATTGCTTTCGTATTTTAATATACATTAAAATATTATTTATTTCTGTGACGCACCGCTGAATTTTCATCAGCCATTTTGCCACTCTTCAGTGTCACATGATCCTTCAGAAATCATTCTAATATGCTGATTTATTATCAGTGTTGAAACTGTTGTGCTGCTTAATATTTTTTTTTTTTGGAACCTGTGATACTTTTTTTTTTTCATTCTTTGATGAATAAAACGTTAAAAAAACAGCATCTTCAAAATCTTTTCTAACAATATAAGTCTTTACTATCACTTTTTTAAAAATCCATTTAGCACATCTTTGCTGAATAAAAGTATTAATTTCTTTAAAAAAAAAAATTTTTTTTTAAATCACTGACCCCAAACCTTTTAATAGTAGTGTATATTGTAGCACAACATTTCTATTCTATTCTAGTTTTTTTTTTGCTATTATACTAAAAACTATTTCTATTTTTTTTTCCAACATTGATTTTAAATCAGCATATTAAAATGATT